ACTTTTCGATTGGAGTTTATATCAAAGATGCAACATTGTTTTTTATATGAAATGAGGGTTTTCTAGGCTGTGAAATTATTCATTTATAGCCTAAAAAATATATAGTTGCTTGATGATCTATTTTAGATTTTTGAAAAGGTGCTGTTTTTACAACGCATTTACTGAGATAACGTGCGATGTATTGTGAGTTATGCACACAGCATCAGATTTATGCTTGAGACTAGACCTCACTTAAAGTATTTTAAGAAAGTTTATTTCTTTAAAAGGCTTCTATTTTTTATAGTCAGTGATTAAAATCTCTGTAAAAGCATTATAGATATCTTGAGCTTTAATTTTAATATATTTCTCATCATAAAAAAAAGGAAGGGAAAAAAAACTGATTTTAATTGATTTTTTTCCTCTTCCCCCTGCTGATTAAAATCATTGACACACTGCTTTATATACAGTAAAATCCTAAGACAACAATCCATAGTTCCATATGATTTTAGTCACCTGCAACTTTAGAATAGTTGATGTTTAATACTGTGGTTTGCTGATATTCCATAAATAGTCATTTTCATAGTTTTCAGGTGGTCACAATGAAAACGTTTGTTTATCTGCAAGCTAGTAAAATAGTTTTGAAATAAATGTACAAAACTTCTCCAAACTTTTCCATGCCTTTCTTGTTTAATATCTTTAACATGTTTGTAGGAAAGTTTTATATACAATTTCTTTCATGAAAATAATATTGGAAAGTATAAGTTTCTTATATTCTGGCTGGCATGATGTTATTCATTAGTAATTACAGCAGTTAGTGGAGGGCTTTTATCGCATTGATGCTGATGACCTCAGGTTCGGTTCCTATGTATGGATTAGTTGTTTTTGTTTTTTCTCATATCCCTTGTAAGAAGTAGTATTGTGTAGTGTAAGAAGTAGTGTTGTGTAGTGCACTGTGGCGAGTATTTTCATTAAAAAAGGGTGGAATGACCTATGGGCTGTGCTGTTCTCTAGCAAATGCTGAATCAAAAAATACCGTATTGTAAAAGAAAAAGTCTTTGATGATCATTGTAATATTCACTGAAATAAAGCCTTTATCAGTGAAATGATTTCTTAAGTGTTATTTAATGTTGTATGTCAAAGAAATGATTTCTGTTTTATATAGATCACAGTAAAAAAATCATATTTTTTTTACAAGTTTGAATTTTAAAAAAAAATTACATATAGAAATTTAACATTTCTGGCAATGCAAATTTGAAGCCAGTGCTTTTAAATTAATATTTTTCTGATGTAAAGTATTTGTTTAACTTTGTATTTTCAAAATTAACGTGCCTAGCTATTTTTTTATTTGATTGATTCACTTGTACTTTTCACTGAATCAGCCCTTTTTTGGTAGGGTTCATCTAAAATTCTTTTTTAAGTTTTGTAAATCTTTTCTAAAAAAAAAAAAATCACGTGACCAAAATTGTCATAGTCTAAGAACCTAGCTCTCTCTCTCTCTCTCTTTTTTTTTTTTTTAAATTATTATTAAGGCTGTGGGCCAATGACCAGTCGCACTATCTAATATGTTATGATGATTGCACAGTTAATTACATCTTGACCAGCTGCTCAAGAGGTAATTAAATGTGCAATCTTTTGGAAGCAATTTCTAATTCAAAATTTAAGCAAAAAAGCAACCTTAGATTGGCATAGATTTTGAATGAAAATTTGTCGATTTCAAGAGTGAGAAAAAAAATTTTAAAGCAGGAGAGGGATCCATGTCAGACACTTTCAAATTCATTCAAAATCTATGACATTCTAAGGGTATTTTTTCACTAATGTAAAATTTGTATGTAACATTAGCATATTTTAATAATTTTTAATTTTACATTAGCTCTTCTAGATACACCCTGGTACTGCTGTCCTAATTATTCCAAATGGCATTAAGGTTTTAATTCCATTGTTGCAATAAGAGAAATGCTGTTAATTCTGAGTCCCTTTCAGAAAATTATTTGGTGCCAAATTTTCTGTAATTAGTTTTAGTAAATTCTAATTGTTTTCTACTTTTTGTATACTTATGGGAAATATTTGATTTTGTTTTATAGTGTAGAAATAGTGAATATTCTCAATGCAAATCAAGAAAGCAGTATTATGATAGTATGTTTCAGTACTAATCAGTTCCTTGAAGAATTTAATACATTTTCCAATATTTAGAATTATGGGATTAAAAAATGAAATTTAAGTTAACAGCATGTGAGTAATAAAGTATGATTTAATTTCAATAAATATGATTTTTTTTCCTTTTTCCATGTTAATATTTATTTATTTTGATTATGCATTCTCCCCCCTCTTTTTTGTGTGTGGGAGAGGGGGATTAATGATCTTATATAAATTCCTTCCTAAATGATAGTATTCTATATTCTTATGTAATAAGTTATGATGATTGATACTCTTTGATAATGCTAAATTTCAAATAATACTTACAGATTCAGATACTTACTGTTGCACCTTTTGAATGCATTTATTAAAAGTTAATTTAATGTGCTTACATTAAAAATACCTGAATGTGGTATTCTGTGTAAGATATGCTGAGACCACTATTAATGAGTGGCTGAAGCTAGAAAATATTTGTTCTTCTTAGAAAGTCTTCGTCAAACATGTTTCTGTCTTTAGTATGTGTTTTTCCATAACTTAAAAAGTTTGTCTATCATAACACAGCACAAAGTCCATAATTCGGACTTGTCAGAACTTCAGCAATTCCGGATTATAGATCATCCATTTAAATCCGGTAAGACGGCATGCAGAAATTATACTATTAAAAATATGAAACCGTAATTTATGAAATAAAAAGCAATTATGATCTAAAGGGTATCAAATTTTACAAAAAAAAAAAAAATCCTTAATATTTATTTGTTTACTTCATTAAACATTTCTTTCAACACGTGCATGCGTAAAGCATATGCGCGTAATGTATGCGCATTCTTTACGTGCATGCATAATGTATGCACATTCTCTATGCGCATGCGTAAAGTTTGTGGCTTTGAGGTCTGGATTATAGATCATTCCTGATAATGGACATCCGGATTACGGACTTTGTACTGTAAAATATGCTGATACAACTTAATCATTTCTGAAAGCATGCCACTGTAATAGTTGAGCTAAAATTAGATTTCTGTAATCATACCACTGTTAATAGCATTATATTCATTAGATCTTTTATTTTGTGAAGTAAAAATTTTTAAATGCTGCACCCCAATTAGCCCAATTATTTAACAAACCAAACACCCAATTATTTAAATTTAAATTATAAGGAGGTAATTTAATTAATATGAAGTTAGGTATTTGAATGAATTCTATGAAATCAAAGGGAGATAAACAGATTTTGAAGAATGTTTTGAAAACCATATAATTTAGTTATTTATTGTCTTGTTTTAAAGATAACATTTGATGATATCATGTATTGTATTATCATTTAATTGTGCCTGACTATTTTTTATAAATGCTCAACTATTATTTCATTTAGAAATTCCATATGCTTTTTTAAAGCTTGTATTTTGCATTCTGTTGAAAGAATTTTGAAATATCTCTGCTCCCTCCCCCCCCTTTTTTTTTTGTATATGTGTGAAGCATATGCATGCACAATATTCCAGATACCATGTTGTATTTAGGTTGAAGTCCAAAGCAAGTAAATGGTTGCCTTTCAAACTTGTTTTGTTGAATTTGGTAACTTATTTTCTGCAAAGTTTGTTCATTAATCACTTCTTAGCATCTCATCATCTTAATTAGGTACTTATAAATGACTATTGTATATCTTAGCATTCTTTTTATTTACTGTGTACTTTCTGGTGTTTTTGCAGGTGTCTGTAAATGCTCCTATACAGTCAAAAGTCGTTAATCCGGACTCGTCGGGACTTCGGCGATTCCGGATTATCGATTTTTCCGGATTATAGATCATCAGTTTAAATCTGGTAAGATGGCATGCAGAAATTATAAAATTAAAAATATGAAACCGTAATTTATTAGAAATAAAGAACAATTATGATCTAAATGGTATCAAAATTTACAAAAAAAAAGCTTAATATTTATTTGTTTACTTTATTAAACATTTCTTTCAATGTAAGTTGTTTAACTTGCTTCGTTTTTTATGTTATAATACATTTCTCTTTAATTCTATAAACAGACATAATTTCTTGTTCAGTTACAAAGTTCCGCTGTTCAAGTCCTATAATTGCTGTGTCGAGAATACCGACTAATTTGTCAATCGAAATTTTTTCGTTTTCAATAACCTCTGTTACTTTCTTCGCTATCGGAAGCGAATTATAATGACGAGGCATTTGATTTAAATCATATCAAAGACGAGATGAAATACTACATTGAGTAAGCAATTATAAGCCAAATAAAAATAAAAACATCTGCTCTTAAGATAAGGATAGTGCTGACAGATCAACTTCCAATTCAATGCACGCCGCCGCGGCGTTAAAGATAAACAAAGTTTAGATAAACAAACGTTAAAGTTTAGATAAACAAACGTTAAAGTTTAGATAAACTTTATCCATTTTTTGCAGCAATTCCACTTTTTGTTTAATGGACTCCGAAAGATACTTTCGCTTTGTATATCCTTTACATATTAGTAAATATATATCGGAAATTCTATTTGACATAATCGAAAGTTCAAGTTTACTTTTATAAAATTGCTCTAACAGTCTGCAAAAAATAATAATCCGGATCCAATTCGAAAAATTAAGGAACAACGCAATCTGCAACATTAACTGAAATAGATAATTTTAGCTTAGCTTATCCCGTCCGTTATACATTAAACGCGCATTCGTAAACGTATTTTGCGCACGCGCACACGCAAATTAGCAGCGGTAAAGGTCTTATGCGCATGCGTCAACGCGACGCATACGCAGAAAGTTTGTAGCTTTGAGGTCCGGATTATAGATCATTCCGGATTATGGGTGTCCGAATTAACGACTTTTGACTGTATTGCAGTTTTTACTTTAGTATTATATATTGATTCATAGTGCTGTGTTATGTTAATGTAGATCAGAAGAGGTTTTCAAGGAGAATTAATTTGCCAAACTGAAGCTGAAGAAAAGGAAATTTGTTGTCTATCATCTAGTATCTCAGAAGTTATTTATGGAATGGAAGATGGTTCTTTAAAGGTAAATTTTTTATGATTGTTGATATTCTGTTGTAAAATATTTTTTGTGTGTTAATTAAAATTAACTACTATTTAAAATTATCACAAAGTTAGTTTCTTAAGATGGTTTCATAAAAAATTTCCCATATGATGCAGTAAGTATGATTTATAATTTAAATTATGTAATAATTTATTATTGCTATTATCATTTAAAGCAAAATTAATTGCAAGTATTTCTTGCTTTTATTCCAGAATAGTAAATTCCAGCATTATTTCTCAGTTATTTCAGAGTCTTAATTAAATATAAAAAGTAAAGTATGAGAATATATAGGGCTCACCAGCGACCGAGCAGTGAATCGCTGAATACTGGTAGTTCAATCCGAGATCCAAATCCCACGAACGGGTTGGCTGCATGGGCGCTTTCATGGTTTTCCCCATGTGTAACATGTGTCCGAGCCACTTTCCCTTAGAAAGACCTTTACGAAGCATCCCTTCGCTTTGGCAGATAGCCCTTGTGTGCTTTGCCATAGTCAAATAAGCCATGAAAATATTTAATTATATGTATGAAATATGTTTGCACATTTTTGAGATTCATATTATAAGCAGACATTTTTATTTACTGTTTTAAGCATAGAAACCTGTATGATTATAAATAATTAATAGCTGAGTAAAAATTGTTATCTTTCACCTGCGAAAATGTTCAGCTACCTAAGTTGATGTGGTATTCTGTATGTTATTCAGAGTACGAATTTAAGCTTTAACTTGCCACTAGCAGAGTGACTAAAACTGTGAAACACTAGTAATTTTATGTATCAATTCAACAGGCTGATTGCATGAGGCTTCAGACGAGTCATTTGCCTTTAGAGAACTTTCTATAAAATATTTCAAAACTTCTGTCATTTAAACTAATAGTTATAGTGTGCTTTTTTGGTCAAATGATTCATCCATGCGTTAACCACTGAAACCAATATTAAGTAAAAGTAGTAATAATTTAATAACCAAGTAAAATATTAAGTCTAAAATTTGTGAATTCACTTGATTTTAAATGTTGTTATAAAGTAGTTCCTGTTATGTCCATAGCTCAAGAATGATAAAACTGTAAAACTGATTTTATATGGAGAACTTCTGTAGTGCTAACTAAATATTGGAAAAGTCAGAGATCATCTAATCATATCCAAACAGTTATGAATATGTGAAAAGTATAGAATCTTCTTGTGACTAGTGACAATGGGTAGAATATTGATTTCAAAAAATAGATTGAATTATTCACATAACTACATAACTACTACAAAACATTGAAAGTCAAGGAAGATCCTCTAATCTTGAACTCTCAATTTTTCTTGAATATATATGAATTTACTTATCAAGAAATGCATTATATTAAGAGAATTAGCCACTAATATTTAATAGAAAATCCAAAATAAGTTATTAAATATAGGATTTCTGATTGCCTGTGGTGAATTTTCTGATGAATTTTATCACAATGATGGGGGGAAAAAAAATTCAAAATTCAAATGGCAAAAGTTTAAATTTCTTGAAATCTCCAAAATAATGCTATATCACCAAATATAGTTGAGACTTGTTTATTTTCAATTTTGCATTCACATTGATGTAGCAATCAAATTTTCTAACATTATTTTTTTCTAAATGAGTAAAAGCATTTGTAGCTATTTTTGTGTGCTCCTTTATTTCCAATAAGTTCAGTTGTTTTTATAAAAATGCTTCGTTAGTTTTTCAATAAAATAATTGTCTGCCTTTAACATGAACTTCAAGCTGATATTAAAAAAAGAATACATTGGATTCCATGTTTTAAAGAAGTTATCTATTACATTAGTAGCTAAATTCCTATGAATGTTTTAATTACCAAAGACAAATTCTCTGTGGAGATTTGCCTAGCTTTAAAAATTCTTTTTGTCTGATAGCTTTGAACTAAAAAAAATTCATACCAAGTTTCTCCTTGTGAACGTACACTCTGTCTTTTGAATCAAAAATTTTGTAGTCAAATAATAAAGTCTTAATCAAATTATAATCTAAATAATCAAGTTCTTTAGGCTTTATTTATGTTTCATTATATGTATCTACTCTGCATGAAATGGATACACGCATACTGCTCTCAATATTATGTGTATATATATTATATCCTTTAAAAAAATACTAAGGAGAGACATTAAATTAGAGTTTTAATTGTAATTTAAGTCTTTATTTAAAGGTAAAAATACATACAATGGGGTTTGGATACTTTTTCAAATTAGACAGAAAATTTGAATACAGCATTTGGTATTAATGGACTTTGAAGAAAAACAATTTAACTGAAAAATCTATTTTCTGAAATTTAAAAGTCCAATTATAAATTACTAGAAAGTAATAGAAAAGTATCCTCACCTCATCAGCTCTGAAAGTAAATTAGACAGTACATCTGAAAGTGAATTCACAGGTGTTTCATCAAATGAATATGCAATAAATTTGCAGAATGGAAACCAAAACCTTAATCATGTATTACGGGATTATAAAAGGGAAAAGGGGGTTAAATTCTGGCTGAATGTAAGATGAAAAAAAAAAAAAAAATGTAGCTTGCAGTGTGTCCAAAATAAATTTAGGTCATTAAAAAATTTGAAGCATTTTATTATTGGGGCAAAGAGCTCCAAAAGATGGAAAAAAATTGACTTCGACTTATATTCATACTACCCGTAGGAAATACCACAAAAAATCCTTCAGGCATTTCATTCTCTGGGATTTGAACGTACTTCAAATTACATATGGTAGGCTGTTTCACCTCTTGGGTGCCAGTAGTTTTTCAGCTCTGAAGTTTATAATTCAATTTATTTGGCTAATTGTAACTGACATGAAATAGAATACTGCTTTGATCATTATTTACTGTAGCTCATCTGTACTCTGCACCCAGTCCTCATTCAGCACATTTATTATTACATAAAGTGTGTGCTGTCTGTATCATTATGCACATTTATTATCACATTAAAATAACTAAAATATTAAACATTATTCCGCAGCAAAATGATTTCCAGAATTTCTTATATTCTGACTAAATTTTCATCACTTCTCTTTAACTTTCAATTTTAAATTAGCGTGTGTTAATAGCTAAAATATATTGCTTTTGTTTGTAATCTCTTTATTCACTATTTTTTATTGTTTTTTTGCAAGACACAATCACCTTGGTGACTTTCCAGAACTTCAAAGTTTGGATATTGAAAATTTTGGATGTTCCAAATTGCACTATACTGCCAAATCTTGTTATCTTTTACTGTATTTTAACTCTTGACCTACAGAATGTTAGCAGTTTTTTTTTTCCCACTATTGTGTATTTCTAGATGAGTAAGTTCCCCCCCCTTTTTTTTTAATATTTTTTATCAAGTGTTACAGTTTTAAAATTAAAAGGTTATTAATTAGGTCTTCAATGTAAGTTTCTTTCATAGCTGCATCGAAAGAAACAATGCTTCCTCTAAACAACCTATTTATATGTTTATGCAGAAGCAGCCCTTCTTCTCATGATATGAATTTGAAATAATTTATCACTGTTTTGATTTTATCTTAAGATTATTTACAGTAAAGTTTTATTTTTGATTTTACCATTTGTTTAATACCTAAATTCAATTATTATTTTTACTTTTATTGCCTGAAGAAGTAGATCACCAGAGGATTATAAGGACGTCTTATCAGTATAGGAAGTCACATCTCATCAGAATAGGAAGTTATTTCACTTGCATAAGAATGTTTATCTCCCAAATTAGTTTTTATTAGTCTATGATATGGTTCTGACACTGTTTTCCATGGTAGTTATTGGAATAGCTATAAGTCATCTGTTGTGCTTATAATAATTAGCTGTCTGAGCAGCTGAATTTATCATTTAAGCCTTTATGGTGACATCAGATTTCTTTTTGTAGGTACAAATTGCAGACAATCATTATTTCTTTTTAAATGCTTTTTAAGCTGTAAAGATTTGATTTTATTAAATGGCAGCAGTGTGAGTATTACTTTTATTTAAAATGTAAGGTGGCAAAATATGTAAACCAGTGGTTCTCAACCTTTTGACTATCGCGTACCATCTAAACAAAAATTGAAAAACTTAAGTACCACCACCACCACATTTTACAATGATTATTTTCCAGTTTCTCAGTAGAAATATTAAAGAAAACATAGTTTGCCATTTGCACAACCTATTGGCTATTTGTATTAAATATGCACACATAAAAAAATTATTAGATTAAATATTGGTTACCATTTTAATCATCAGAATTTAAGTTATAACACTTTAATTTTAAAATTTAATATGAAATTTGGGCCTGTTTAAGAGAGATCAATTTGTTTATGCCCGGTCTTATTTTATTTAGTTTTAACCATAAATTAGAATCCACTTTTAATTTTGTTCTGTATTTATTTTTCAAATATAACAGAAAAAAATTCTTGTTCACACAAATAAGCTGTGCAAAAAGGCAAAAAGTTTTAATAGCTTTATTTGAAGTGTCTTTAAATTCTTTTTTTCAGTTCAGCTAAAAGTTAACAAGTGTGCTATTTGTTGTGTAGCGAAATTATGTTAATTAATGAATTAATGTCTTATTCAAAATTAATTTATTTGTATTCCAAATTATGCTCTACAATGTGTATTTTATTCAATCTATGTGTTAATTTGTTATAATATTAATTAGGGTTTTTGTAACTTAAGATTCAACGTTGCATCACTCATTTTTTTCTGAACCTGCTTGGCAGAATTTTTATGTTATATTATGGATTAAAAATACTTAATTTTATTTTACTTACTTCAAACTTATACTGTTAGAAACAGAAAATTTTGTTCTTTAATTTAAGAGTACTTTCATTGTGATAGCTGTAATCGTTTTTGAAATATGCTCATTTAATTAACAGAATTTTGTAATTTCGTCAGACTAGCTGAAATGAGGGGGGAACTTGGTTTTCGTGTTATTTTGGTGGTGCAGTAGAATGAGATAAGGTGAAGATCACTTTTTACATCCGGTCCCATGCTTAAGGTTTGCTGCATTTGCCCGGGTG